AACTAAAATAAAAAGTGGACTCGTGTGCTAATCATTTTAATCTTTCACATTTCACGTCAAAAACTAAAGTGCCTTTGAAATAGGCTATAAATTTTCCTCTGGGCCCAGGGCTAGCCTCATCCCATGGGTTTTGAAATGAGCTGTTCTTATTTGCATTAATCACCCCATGATCAGAAATTCCGGGTTGGTTTCTTCTCTGATTTGACAGTTATTTAGAAGAGGTTTCTTTCTTTCTTCTTCTTTTTTTTTTTTTAATGTTTATTTTTGAGAGAGAGAGAAACAGAGAGAGAGTGGCAAAGGGGCAGAGACAGAGAAGACACAAAATCTGAAGCAGGCTCCAGGCTCCAAGGTGTCAGCACAGAGCCAGACATGGGGCTCGAACTCACAAACCGTGAGATAATGACCTGAGCAGAAGTCAGATGCCCAACTGACTGAGCCACGCAGGCACCCCTCTTTGTTTGAATTTCTCAGTGACTGCCTCTGAGAGGCTAGTTTTAAATGTATCTTATTAGGGGCGCCTGGGTGGCTCACTCTGTTGAGCATCCGACTTCAGCTCAGGTCACGATCTCGCAGTCCGTGAGTTCGAGCCCCGCCATCGGGCTCTGTGCTGACAGCTCGAAGCCCGGAGCCTGCTTCGGATTCTGTATCTCCCTCTCTCTCTGCCCCTCCCCTGCTCGCACTCTGTCTCTCAAAAATGAATAAATGTTAAAAAAAATTTTTTTAATAAAATAAATGTATCTTATTGTTTTAGGAGTGTGGCCTGACAGATTTCTACTTTTGAAATCTACTAGATTTCTCGAGACAAATGAATTTCAAATTTTAATTACAGTCTCTTAACACATCTAGACAATAGCCTTTAAAAAGAAAAGGCTGGGGTGCCTGGGTGGCTCAGTAGGTTAAGCGTTCAACTCTTGATTTCAGCTCACGTCATGATCTCACGGTTAGTGAGATCGAGCCCCACATTGGGCTCTGTGCGGACAGTGTGGAGCCTGCTTGGGATTCTCTCTCTCTCCATCTTTCTCTGCCCCTCCCCTGTTCTCGCTCTTATAATAAATAAATAAAAACTTAAAAAATAAATAAAAAGAAAAGGCCATCCCCTAGAATAAACATAGCTTCAGACAGACAGACAAACAGACACACACACACACACACACACACACACCTTTATAAAAGAGGTAAACAAACCATTAACTTGGTGGGGGGCCCAGAACTACACTTAAGGATTAAGGGTGTCTGATCTAGGAATCCCACACTCAGGAATCACACCCACAATGGCACTGATGTACTGTAGCCCCATTTTATTTTATTACTATTATTTTTTTTAATGACAAGCTAACTTAATTTTTTTTAATGTTTATTTATTTTCGACAGAGAGAGAAAGAGCATGAGTGGGGGAGGGTCAGAGAGAGGGAGACACAGAATCCGAAGCAGGCTCCAGGCTCTGAGCCGTCAGCACAGAGCCCGACGCGGGGCTCAAACTCACAGACCGAGGGATCATGACCTGAGCCGAAGTCGGACACTCAACCGACTGAGCCACCCAGGTGCCCCTGTAGCCCCATTTTAAAGACTAAAACTGAGGCTGCCAGAGACGGAGTCAGGTATAACAGTAAATGATAGCTGAGACCATCTGTCAATTCCACTAACCCCTTCACCACGGAATCCAACTTTCTTCTCAAAGGAGTACTAACACAGCACCAGGTCTCTGGCGAGCTTCCTAAAGTGGGTTCATTGTGCCAGGGCACAGCCAGCAGCCAGGCTCCTATAGGCGAGCAGGACTTTACGCCTGGGAAAAGTGGGCTGGCTAGAAAAGGAAGCTGACGCAGCTCTTTCGACAAGCCCCAGAAAGAATATTAAGTCATTTTCCAGGCAGTGCCGAGGAACCCTGAGAGAGGGGTGGATCCCGGGGAATCCTGACGTTGTCCTCCCCACCCTGGGAGTGTCTCTGCCAGAAAAAGTGGGGCGTCATCCGGAAGAGGGCGAGCGGGCAGGAACAGACACAGGACCCACGCCTGCTCCACGACACTGACAAGGCAGCTCCTCGGGGGCGGGGGTGAGGGGTCTCAGCTCCAAGGCTGAGGCCACGCACAACGTAGGCAGTCCCCGAAGGCACATTTCAGCACAGTGTTTCAATGAGAAATGACACATGCTACCCTGGGCTTGAGATCTGATTGGGGACGTCGAGCCGTACTCCTCTGCTTCCCAGCAAGGAAAGCAGAGCAACGAGAGATAAACAGAAGTCAATCAGAGCAGAAAGTGACATCGGAAAAACTTGCCTAATTCTGCCAGACCTGTTTTGCCGCATAAAGATAAGAGTCATTTGGACGATGCGGCTTCAGCAGAAGAAATTAAATGGTGGCACCATTCCCAAAAACGGCTAAAGCAGTTAATGTCAGGCATGTTCCCAACATCCTTGAAGGTACTGAGCTGGAAGGACGGCAGCCCATTTAAGAATGGTGGTTCTACGGACCCTCCATTTTGCAAGACTAATTACTCTGCTGGAAAGTAAGCCTTGTTCCGGAGTCTCAACACACAGAAGTTATCACTGAGCAGGAAAACTAAGACTCTCGAATTAAAATACACTTGTGAAAAGCAAGCCATGAAAAACAAAAGCGATGCTTAAACCAACTCCTCTCCTAGGTATATACCTAACATAAATGTTGACATAACATATATATATTTATACATATATATATATGTATATATATATATATATATATTTTTTTTTTTTTTTTTTTGGAGGAAAACACCTGCATGAAAATGCTCACAGCAGCACTCTGCCCGAAACTGGGAACTTCCCAAAGGCCCATACACAGAATGGATATGTAAACTGTGTAATATTCCACAATGACATGCCATACAACAACGTGAACGAGCAGCTACAAGTACAGGGAACAGGTCAGCAAAAGGTTTTGTAGACGGCCAGACAGTAAAGACCTTGGGCTTTGTGGGCCATGTGGTCTGGGTCCAGACTACTCAACTCTGCCATCACAGGGCAAAACCACCACAGCCAGGATGTAAATGAATTGGATGTGGCTGTGTCCCAATAAAGCTTTATGTATGCACCCTGAAATTTAGATTTCACATACTTTTCACATGTCCCAAGATGTTATTCTTTTTTTGATTTTTTTTTCCCCCAACCACTCACAAACGTGACATGCATTCTTAGCCCACAGGCTGTGTGAAAAAACAGACAACCCAGATCTGGCTCGGGGGGCTTCAGTCTGCCATGTTCTGAGAGAATCTCACACACTCTCATCTCACATAATGCTAAGCAAAACAAACCAGGCACAGAATTGAACAGACAGCATGATTCTGTTTCTACAAAGAAGCGGGAGTAACCTACGGGGTCAGATCACGATCAGGGTTTCCCCCTGGAGACGCAGGTACTGGAAGCGGGAAGGAGAAGGATTTCTTCGCGGGGCGCGGAAGGGCGGTGAGCTGTCACGCTCTCTGCTCTGGATCCGGGTCCCGATTACTCAAGCATGGCCACTGGTGGAGCTGGTTTATGATTTGTGCCTTTTCGCTAGGTGTGTTCTATTTCAAGAGAAACTTAGCAAAGTTGTTAAAATCAAGGCAAGCCCATTTGATCCGCTTCGAAAACAGAAGCGTAAAGAGATTCCCAGCCATCCAGTGAAATTAGCTACGAATCCTGTGCTAGTCAGGTGCCCGTCAGTGCTGAAGTGTTTAATACGGGGTAGATTCGAATCCCTGTTCCTCCAGCTGTTATCCTACTTCCTTTAGGGTGAGGTGCGCTTCCTGGTTTAAGGGAAGGCACTACCATCAGATTCCAGGCAGGCTGCTTCCTCGGTGTTTGTAGGGAAGGATGGTGTTCGCCGAATGTCTGTTCCTCCTCGCATGGCAATCTGCCATCACTCGCGTTACCAGAGACAGCACCTGGCAAAACATGTGGCCTTCGGCCCCGCACCGAAACCCGTGCCGGACCCACACAAAGGAGAAAGGCCAAGCCTGGCTTCCGTGTGACTGAGAGAATATGCAATTATTTTTTCTCGCAGCCAGAAGCCGAGTCTCCCTGAAACCCATGCTTGTAATGATTGCTGTAATTATTATTTTAATATAAATCAGCAACTTATCAAAATATTACCCCCAGATGCTGCCTCTCTGCTCTGAGTCGACAGGCAGAGGGTACAGGCCGTCCCCCCTGCCCTGTTCTGTGTGCCAGGATGACGGGAGCTTTGGTGACAGTACTTCCTACCACGGCCAGACGCCAACCTCCCCAGTGCCCAGGTCCAAGTCGTTTCCATGCCTGTCCTTGCTTTAGAGGGGCATGTTCTGCACTTTCCCTCACAGTCTGACGCTGGGTGACCCACTCGCTGCTGGGCCTTGGTATTTCTATCCATGCAATGGGCAAACAAACAGCGCCAACCCTCCCGCGGAGCTGTTCTGAAGAATTCCTAACCAGAGCTGCTCTGTTAAAACATTGTGCATCACACGCACGGCATCTGGTGCACAGGCTCCCTGATCACACTGCCTGGGTTCAAACGCCAAGGGTACTGCTCTGCAACTTTGGGCAATTCTTCACCCTCTCCATGCCTCAGTTTCCTCATCTGTGAATGGGGACAGCGTCATAAAGTGGTTGTAAGGATTCGGGGAGATCGCCCAGGAGATGCCGTGTAGCACGGCGTCAGGAACTCGGCAAGCGTTTAATCTACCAGAGCAGTGACCCTCACCGGCCTCTTCCTCCTCTTCAGAGTGATTCTGACAGTCATACACTCAAATCCTAACTGCAGTCTTCCAGGTAACACAATTAAGCAAAGCAGACGGGCAGGTTGGAGATGGGCAAACTGAAGAGTGGGGCCCTAAGTAGGGAGGGGCAGCCCTATCTCCCTTTCCTCAAATGTATACTTCTATGGGAAGGAAGGCCAGAACTTCACATTTTTAAATAGGAACCCCAAATTCGATGTTTGCTTGAAATCCCTGATTCTTAAAGGTTGGCCAGTGATTTAAGATTTTTCAATGAAAAGAAGAACAAGAAGGAGAAAGAGAATTCAGCACTGCCTTTATTCCATCTGTGGCCCAAAGGGATTTTCTAGAAAGTGTCCACTCTTGTTGGGGGTTCATACCGCCTGCTGTCCTTCCGACAGAGGGTTTGTTTGCTCCACATGATTTGTTTTTTTTTTTTTTATTTTTTTTTACCCTAAAAGAGAGTCAAAACAGCAGTCAGCCTCTTGACCTCAGAAGAGTGAATCCAGGCCAGGCCCAGTTGCAAACCCGGCCATTTTCCGTGAATGCGCCCCACCTCCGCGTTACCTTCTCTAACCCGTTCACTGTCATCACCTCGTCTTCTAAACAAGAGAGAATCAGATGCAACAATTCAAAAACTATCCCTCAATGGGGCTACGCGGGGGAGAGAAAAGCAGGTAATGAGAGTATTTTACATCAGGGATGGAATCTTCTGTAACCGCCTGATGACAAGTAAATGGGGTTCTCTGTTTGTGTCTTTTACAACGGCTGCCCCTTCGGAGCTGGGGATAAAAGAGAGAGAGAAAGAGAGACAATGAATAGGCTTCTATTTCAAAGAGAACATCTGCAAAGCATGGTCCTACATTACAAAATAAACAGAAAACAGCCACTAGTCTGGGGGAAAAGAAAAAAAGATTTCCCATTACATCTCTAATTAATAAAGCCCCATTTCACAAGGAAAGAAGAAAAACAGAAAGAGAGCAACTTTCCCACATCTCCAAAGAGAAGATGCTTAATGAGGGAACCGCTGTGTTACTTGACCCATCTAATCTGGTTTTAATATTATCCTTAAATAATGTACACATTAGCTCTCCGTGACCAAAAACATTTGTTTATTTTATTAACATGAGCCTGGTTGAGTGCTGAGACTTTGTGAAACTATCAGGCCATCCTTGGGCTCTCTTTTCATTGCTTGTCTCCTTGCTCATTATGAACTGACTAGCTGTCTCTGCTGCCCTTTTGAATTGCTACGCAGGCTGTCCTGGGTTTCTGCTACCCTGGTTCTGGACAGGAGAGTCTTGATTCGGGGTTAAGTTAACGGAGTCATTACAGGCCCATCTGGGAACGCATTCATCATGGTTAAGTCCATGTGTGACAACACATGGGGGGCTGACATACACAGTCAATGCGAGGCCAGCGTGCAGCGTGAATCTAAGAGCTGCAGATGAAGAACCCAGACCCAAGTCCCCAAGACGGGCCGGAGGAGCCCCATTCCTGCAGGAGCGACACAGGCAGCAAATGAGAATATCAGGGAGATTCCGCTCAGACCCAGTGCACAGTTCCTAATGTGTGACTTAAATCCTCTCCACTCAAACGTCAGAACAAAATGGCACTGCTGTTTACCAAAGGAACAAAGTGTCTTCACGCAGGTTAACCCGACATTTACCAAACTTTGGTCATTCGGGCACTTCCTTGTCATTAGCCACCAAAACGGATGCCATCATTAGGATACAATTAAGGCTTGGTGCTCTCACTTACGCATTTTCATCGTGGTAACCAACCTTTTGTACTTAAACGCTGCTTTACTCACATGCTAAGCAGTAAGAGCCCTGAAGCTGTCATTTTGATTGAACGGTTATATTTGTATGTTTTCCCTAATACACGTTTAAAGAAACATACAGCATTACAAGTTTTAAAAACATTCACCCAAGCAGCAGGGGCGGTGTGCATGGGCGCTGTGGTAGATGGTCTGATGTGTGGGTTACTCGGGTGTGTTCAGTTTGTGAAAACCCACCGAGGTGTGCATTTAGAATAATGTGCACTTTTGTTTATGCAGTACATTTCAGTTAAAAAAAAAAAACACTTAAAAGAATATACCTCAAATTTCAGAACTGAATAAATTTTGCAGAGATATGGACAGAAACTCTATTAAGAGCTGCTTTAAGGGGCAGGGGGGTGGCTCAGTCAGTGAAGCGTCCCACTCCTGATTTGGGCTCAGGTCATGATCCCACATCGGGCTCTCCACTGACCCTACATAGCCCGCTTGGGATTCTGTCTCTCTGTCTCTCTCAAAATAAACAAATAAACTTAAAACAATTATTAAAAAAAAGAAAAAGCTGCTTTAATCACTGGCAGATCAGAACTGGGGTGCAAACCACACTTGGGATTCCTGGGACCAGTCTGGAGCTACTCTGGCAAAAGGTGTCCATCAACCAAAACTAAATAAAATTAATCCACCTCACCCTCCAAAAATCCTCACCGGCTGCCTCTTGTTTTCTCTCAGTTCCCCAACTGCTTCCATTGCTACGCCTGTAACAATTTGATTTTTTTTTTATTTAAAAAAATTGGTTGTTTTTTTTTTTTTTTTTTTTTT